CAATTATACTTGTGTGTTGCCGTCAGAAATAAAATTTTTCATATAAAGATTCTTAGCGTATCCCATCATATTACCATTACATAATAGCGTACTATTTATTTCACCGAAGCAATTTATCAGTTAAAGTAGACTTGGATTCAGATAATTTGGTGTTATTTACAACTTTTAGTTGAAACGCGAAGCTTACTTAAAATTGCTTTCCAAAAAGACAAAAACATTTTTTATATTGTTATGATTGAAGAAGAGAAATTTTTGTCGCTATTTACAGAAAATATTTTTCCCTTATAATACAACTGATGAAAATTGTGGTTTCATTCAAAGCCACTATTATAGTATTTATGGACCGCTACCAGAATAGAAGTAGAAGTTATACGAGTATATATTTGACATTGCCATCAATTATTTCTGCGAATTCAATAGAATATACAAAAACTTGAACATTCAGTCGAGGGCCAAGCGAGTCGAAGCAACAAGCGTTACTTTTAATAATATTATATTTTAGGTTTTATTTTATTTGAGAATTTAGATTTAAAAAACTTATCAAAATCCACTATTGAAGATGGGTATGAGTGTAAGTAAGTGAGAGTGCAGATCCAGGTCTGATCTTCACTCAAATCCCCATTCCTACCCTCAGTCTGTCAATCCTTCTTTGATCAATATTGTTTGTGTTATCGTAAGCACTATACTATTTCATGGTAACAAAAAAATATTTTTTTCTTTACTCACGAGGGAACCACCCAAGATGATAATAAGCTTTATCGACTGGGGTATAATGGTTAGGTAGGGCATGGTTAGGGGTGATATATCCTAAATTAGTTCATGATACGTAGTGGTACATTACAGTCAGGACACCTATATTATGTAAAGCATCAAAGATTATGGGATAAGCACAGCACGCATTTTCATCGAGGCTGTTCTAGTTGTAATGTTTGTGAAATGAACGAAGAAATATACCACTACGGCACCATCTAACAACGATAGGAAGCTTTTCTAAACTATTAAAACATATACTGATGCGGTCTTTATCCGATAAATACATTTGAACACATATATGTGTCGCCGGGAGCGAAACGGTTCATTTGAGGATCTTGATCTAGAGAAAAGTAATCAAAATTTATTCCTATTACATCGAAAATAATTCCTCAATACTTCTTTTTTTAATTTATTTAGTCGACGACAAATTTTCGGGTCATTTTCCTTGAAATTATAGTCTAATTCAATCCCAGTAACCTTTTTTGATCCTGGTCCTAGCCTCGGTGAAGTCTTGTTTTTTGCTCCGGCACATGTATAATCTTCATCTCTTCTTCCGAACGGTGAAAATCGCAACTCTCTATCATTACAGCAAAAAAAAAAGAAAACTTCTTCAAGCTTTCTATATGAAAATGAGATAATGATGACACTACTTGTGGTATGTCCTAAGTCGTAGCTCTTGTTAGAAGCAACTTAGGATATATCACCCCTAGCCATGCCCTATCTAACCATCACACCTTCGATCAAAAAGCTTTTTAGCATCCCAGATGGTTCCCTTATCAGTGGGAATATGAGCCATCCGTTTTCGGTAAGTATGTGAGAGCGAGGCATCAATCAAAAAAAAAAAAGAAAAATATAGCACAAACCATGAGAAATATTCATTCTGCTTTTCATACAATTTTCTATAGATAAGAAAGTGTTCTTCATTTATTAACTCATAGCAAACGATTCAAAGTAAAAAACAACATGTTCTACTACGCAATTTTCGTTATTGTCGCTCTTTTTACGAACGGTTCGACTGGCACACCAACAAAGTCACTGACAGATGAACCAGAACGTTGTTGTGTACCAAAACAATTTAGTTCAGTAATGAGTACATCAAGTGGTGTGGTTCTTCCAGATGGTAAAATAATCGCCACATATGTAAGTCATCCGTTTGAAATATACTGTAATCGAAAATCTGCTCTATTCAAAAAATAGGGAACCTACAATTTTTCATATGATGTGGATCGTGGTATGGTTGGAATGCAAGGTGTATCATTTTCGATATTTGATCAACAGAAATCAAATTTATGGATTATTGAAAGTATGAGTGACGGAAAGATTTATACATATGATCGAGATTCGAAACAGTGCTACAAATCAACAATGCCGATTCATCCAATTACTTGTATACCAGGTTTATATCGAGTTTATTCATTAATTATTATTCTTATTTCAATAATCATAAGACTATTCTTTTTTTCTTTTGTTTCCATATAGATACAGCAACTTACGTACGTTCGGTTACGTATGGATATGGGGATAAACAAATAATAGGAGATACATGGCTTGTAAAAATCGATGACGCGATTACATATTCCACAGTTAGTCGTGATGGTCTTTGCGTTCCATTGACTGGACATAGTTTTCTTCCAAACCCAGGTAAATAACTGTTTTATATCAATGATACATTTGCTGCTATTTGGTCATTGTAGCTGTAACAACTGCAATCACAACAACTGATTTTGTACCGAAGATCATTGATCCAACTATATTCGATATACCAGACGAATGCAAAAATATTGTCTAGTTTTTCCGTTTTCTTCTCAAAAACAGACACGAACCATTGTTCATTAATGTGAACGTTTTACCTTCTCCCATGAAATAAAAGAAAACTGTTGTTACATATATATGTGAGACAGCAAAACACAAATGTAATACGAAGTATTACAACTGAAATTGCAATATTTAAAGTTAAATAGAAACTCTTCAATCAAATATAAATGGTGTGAGTGTGGATGAAGTAAAGACTCATACGGACCCTAACACTCAGGCTCGTCCATTTTGAAAATCCAATGCACTACAACGTAATACGTGAACTGTTTGCTATTTGCCAGATCAAAGGTTGGAACAATATCTAATGACGATCATGCAATGATGGACATTACTGATGCAGACAGTTCTCCATATATAAAGTCTATGATTCCATCACTCTTCGCTTTGAAATCGAAAAGTCCTTCCATCCTATTGGTCATCTTACTTCGAAAAGAGTCCAAAGTGATCAAGACTTTCGCTTTGCTTGTGGTTCAATTCTTTTGATAATCACCTCATTGATACACACAAAAGAAAAGATAACATTGGAATATTAATGATTGCAGTAGTGGACAATAGGACTGGTTTACAAAGAAATGCTTGCCCTCTAACAAAGTCAAACCCATCGAGAAATGGGAAGAAAAAAAGCATACATATACATTTACTGCTGTGAATATATCTGAAAAAATTTTTGCCTTTCTTTAACGTAATGAAATTTCGCCTTTGAATCGATCAGAAAAATATCTACCAATGTCAAAACTGTTCTATTGGATAATTCGTCTCATCATGGGTGTAGGTATTAGTGCTTGTCAACAGTATTCAAACATCCACACCTACACTCAACATTTATCGCTTACCGTTACTACTTACGAGTTTGCCATACCTGCACTAACAATCACTATCATCCTCATCCACATCGATGCTCACATCTAGGTCCATACCCATACATTCTATAGTGGAGACTCATGGATCAAAAATAGCCTTGATGACTGACTCAAGACTGAATTTATTGCTTCAAATATGAGAATATCAAGAAAATATGAATTTCCGTATGGGATGTCTGGCAACATTTACAATCAAATAACCATGACCAAGTTTAAACTAGCATTCATTTCGTTAAGTGTAGCGATATCTTCATACCCTTTAGAAAAGAGCCAATGAATCCAAAGGATGAGCACTAATTAGTTGTACATACAAAGTTCGAGAGATTCATTCTCTATTTTCGAATATCGATCTATCAGTGTGTGAGAAGTACTTCGATACATTATTTGAAGATAAAATTGAGACCCTATCCTCGATTTAAGTTGGATTATATTAAATAGATGGTATTAAAAGATATATAATGATTTCAATGACTGTGATATCAATCCTAAGCAGTGATTCTCCTTGCATTTTTGAATCATTATCTTGTTTATAATTGATCGTCATCGTATTCGCATATGTTTTGTTAGTAGCACTTTGTTCCAATTCAATCATGTTTTAATCAAATTTTGCTAATCCACAGTGAATCGATTACACGATGTGTGATCAAAATTATTTTCCTTTGGTTTTAACTCAATTTCTAGTTTTTCTTAACTCATTTCTTTAGAATTATTGACAAATTCAAAATGAAATCTCAAGATAGAAAAGAGTGAGGCACATAAGTAGACAAATTGATTTACTTCGAAATGCTCACCGAAACTATATAGTCTTACATGAAATAACACAAGGAAAACTTCAACAAAGAACGTATTTAGTCAATATCTGGTGAAATATTTTGACAAATTACGTTCGACTATTTTAATCGAATTTGTTAGATAACCATGATAATCAATTCATAGGTGAAGTTAAGAAAATAAAAATAAGATAGATTTATTTTAATTTTGTTCAACTTTCATGGAGTCGTCAATCATTACAAAAAAATATGTATGAATACAAAAGAATGTATTCGAAACCTATAAGTACTTTTATTAATGGTTAAAAAAATTGATTCAATATCGTAAAAATTTTTGTATTCTATGATTCATTGCGTCCGCTACCAATAAATTGAGTTGATTATCGAGTCTTATAGAATAAGGAGCATAGAGTTGAGTGGAATTGGAACCACTGAGGCCAGTAATACCAGCGATTGTTGTTCCATTTGTTTGACCAGCTAAAAAAAGTTGTATACGATGATTTCCTGTATCAGCTACATACATATTACCCATCGGATCGAGTGTAACGCCTGTAGGATAACTGAGAAGTGTTGATGAACTGCCAACCATTCCAGGGGTCCCTGCAACCAAAGTCCAATTACTATAGTCTAATGTACAGCGAACAATATGCTGACCACCATAATTAGCAATCAAAAGACTGTTCGATACTGAATCAAAATGAATTCCAACAGAATAATACAGTTGTGTACGGTTTGTCCCTGATCCTTGTCCTCCGATGACCAAAGTACCATTAGATGCACCCGATGCATAACTCATGACACGATTATTGTTGTAATCAGCGATGTAAAGTGTATTTGTATTTATGTCACGCGAAATAAAGTATGGAGAATGAAGTCGATTGTACGCAGAACCTGATGAACCTACAGACAAAATCATGTACAAATTAATCAAATATTAAATAATTTAAATAGAGAAATTGGTACATGTTTTTATATTCAAATATCTTTGTTCATATGTTTACTGAAAAGGAACAAAACGAATTTTAAATTATTTATTTTGCCAGTCATATTTAGGAAAATATTCACTGAAATATGCATAAAGTTCTTTATATGGACAGTTTTACATTTATTATACTACTAAATTACAAGTGAAACGTAAGTATTTTTAAAACTATTGATTAAATATATTTAAATTATCACTTAATCTAGGATCTCTGTTTCTTTTTATCCCACCTGTGCCAGCAATTGTAGTTCCCGATGTTG